GTAGTTATGCCCTATCACATTATCCTTTTCGTAACATGATACATTTAAGAAGCTTTCAGGGTTAATTTTTTTAACGCAATCGTTTTTTCTCCTCCAACTTCCATTTCTGCCACTATATGCACACAGCCATAGGATCGGGTTAAAAAAAAAAAACCCAAACCAAACAAAAAACCAACCCCACACCCAAACCAAAAACAAAATAACAAAACAAAAAAAAAAAAACCAACCCGGAAGCCATCTCTTTTATTGAATCACCCGAGATAAAAGGATTCCAAGATATATGGAAAGAAAATACATTGACCATAAATCTCCTTTATGCACATAATAGAATTTTTCAGCCAAGAGAGCTGTTGTGATGATAGCAACGGCGAGCACCACGAATACTGATGGCACACACACACACACACCCCGCCTGCTTCTTCCAAAATACCTGCTCTCCCTCAGCACTGCTATGTAAATACAAGACCGCACAACCCCCTTCCTAACACATGGAAACAAAGCTGCGTACAAGTGTCCCAGCGATCAGATAAAAAAGCCTAAACTGGCTTTGCTCACCATCAAATTAATTTTTTCTAATTTATTTTTATTGCCCACTCCCTTTTCATTGCCTTCCCCTCCCCGCCTCACACTTTCGGTGTGACTTAAAAAATAATTAAGCGATGGCAGTGTTTATAATGCCAAAGGCAGGCGGTGGCAGTGCATATTTAATGGGCACTCGGAACAAAGGAAGCCCGGCTGCAGGAGCGCCCCGGGGCCGGCCCCGCCGCCGCCCCCCCGGGCAGCCCCTTCCCCGGGCCGGGGGACACGGACACGCGGGGAACCCCTCCCACTCCCACCCACTTTGCAATACAATGAAGCCGCGATGGCAAAGCCGCCGGGAACTCCCCGGCTGCCCATCGCGGAGCAGGGAAGGGCACGGCTGCAGCATCGCCGCCTCCCACACCCTGCCCCCGGGAAACCCTCGGCCACAAGCAGCACACCTCCCCGGCCACAAACAGCCCTCCCTCCCACCACCAACCCCCAAATCCAACCACCACCCCCTCGCCCCGAGCTGGGGAATGGAGGTACCGAAACAAGTCACTGCCGAGCGCCGGGGCGGGGGGCTCAACCCCGAAGGAGGGGTGTCAAGGGGTCGTGGTGACCAGCAAGGGGGGTGGGCCGGGGAGGGCAAAATTGCTGCCGCCGCGGTTTGTGCATCAATAAAAAGGAATAGAGGGGGAAATAATAATTACAAAAATTAAAACAAGGAGGGAAAGTGGGGAGCGCGGGGATTTCAACCGTGCCCGCGTTTTCAGTGCTGGGGAGGGAAACAGGCGTTCTGACTTCTTCTGCCTCCCCCCCCCCCAGGGCTGCGGGATGGGGCACCCCATGGAGACACCCCCCCCCCCCCCCCCCCCCCCCGGAGCGCTGCCTGGGACACCCACAGCTCCCCCGGCAGTGCCCGGGCTTTCGGCTAACTTCCACCCCGCGCCCCCCGGCAAAACGCACACCCCGCGGGTTGGAGCCTAAGTTTGGGGGCCAGTCCAGTTCCACAAAATAAATGGGATGCAAAACACACTAAACAAACACAACCCTGCCGCAAAAGCCCCCTCCCGGGAGATACTCCCCCAGGCACCCCCTTCCCGCCCCGCACACCCCCTTTATCCCAACTTTCTCCCAGCTCCCCCCAGCGCCAGCCATCCCCAAACGACTCGTTTCGCGCTAACAGGCAAACCCCAGCGGGACCGCGGTAGCCCGGGGGGCTGCGATGGAGCGAGGTGGGGGTGTCCTCTGAGGACCAGGGGGGAACTCCTCTGCACCTCCCTCGGGTTACACACGCGCAGCCCGGCAGGAGCGAGCGCACACATGGCTACTACCTGAGCGGCCCCGCACCATTTCGGAGCAACCCCCAGGTCTCCTCCCGCTGCTCCCAACTTCTCCACACACACACACACACACACACACACACACGACCCCTGCAACCTCTCCGGTTGAGCACCCGCTCAGAAGTAAATGCCCGTTTTTGTAAAGTTTCCTCGATATCGCGCCGTGTTTACATTGCTATTAATTCCCACAGGCTGCCTGAAGGGAACAAAAAGCAGCAGCACGGGAAGGCTCGTCCTGCGAGCAGGGAGAAAACGGGGGGGGGGAGCGAGGGGGTGAAAAGCAAAAAGAAAGAAAGAAAGAAAACCAAACAAACCCCCCAACAATAATAAAGCAAATGAAGCAGACGGCAGTGGTGGGGACATTCCCCAGTTCGCAGGCTCGCTGGTTGCTCTGCTCTGTTTCGGAGGGTGGCTGCAAATAATTGCACGGCCCATTCAATTCTGCATTTGGAGAGGCGACCGTAAGCCCGAGCGGGAGGTAAACACACCGAAATGCACTTACCTGCACAGAAAGTTCCACAAAGCAAGGCGAAAGTCAGCCACGAAGCAATCATATTCCTTTACTTTTCTTTTTTTTTTCCTCCTCCTCGTGTGCCGCTCTATCCCCAAGGGAAGCAAAAATAAAAATACGAAGATCGAGAGAGTGAAAGAAGGGGGGAGACGCGAGGCTCTGCCCGCGCTCTCTCGCGCTTAAAAAAAAAAAAAAAAAAAAAAAGAAAGAAAAAGAGAAAAAAAAAAAAAAAGGCAAAAATCCTGGGGGAGGGGGGAGGGACGGGGGAGGGGAGGGAGGGAGAGAGAAAAAAAAAATCGGATTTAATTCCTTCGCAGTTGCAAAATGTATCCAGTGGAGAGGAACAGCCCCGGACGGTTCGACCTGCTCCTGCCTGGCCCCGGCGTTCGCTCCGAGCTTTCCAAGAGTTTCTTTTCCTGGGCTTTTGTGCTGGGAGCTCGGCGTGCACCACACACTGACTCCCCCCTCCCCTCACCCCCTTCTTCTTCTCCTCCTCCTCCTCTTCCTCCTCCTCCTCCCAACCCAGCCCCTCCGGCTCCCCCAGCGCTACGGGAGAGCGCGCACACACGCGCGCGCGCGCACGCCCCCCCGCCTGTCCCCGTGGTGGTGCACGCGCAGGCCAGTGCAGAGGCGCGCGGGATGTCCGCGCGCGCGCGCGCGCCACACGCGCACACACACTCACCCGCTCCGCTTCCCCGCGCAACGCAACGCACACGCGCTCCCGGCGCCGGCAGCAAGCGGCAGCGGCGGGACTATGAGAGGTGACCGGCCCCGCGTGCAGCGCGGGTGCTTAGCGGCAGGCAAGAGGTCGCGGAGGAGCCGCGCAGCGCCGGCAGCGTGGTGGTGGTGGTGGTGGTGGTGGTGGAGGGGAGGGGAGCGGAGCCGGTGGCGGCGGGCCGCGGCATCGCGGGCTGCGCGGGGCGCGGAGCGAGGGGGTGGCGGGCGCGGGCTGGGCAGGGTGTTGCCATGTACCGGCGGGGGGATGAAAGGAAAGAAGAGAAAAGAAGAAGCAGCTGTGGGGAAAGGGGAGGTTTGTTGTGGTTTGTTGTTGTTGTTGTTGGAGGGGGTTTTAATAATTAAAAAAAAAAAAAAAGCTGAACCGGTTCCAAAATGGCTTCTAAAAAAAAGGGAGAAGCCAAAGCGGAGCCAGCGGGGAAACCCGGATGTTTGATACAAAGAGGCTGGAGCGGGGCGGAGCGGCGCGGGGGCTCCGCGGCCGCTGAGTGGGGAGCGGCGCTGCCCGTCAAGGCCGCGCCCCGCAGAGCACCGCCCCCCACGGGATGGACCGGGGGGGTGTTGGGGGGGGCAGGGAGCGGGGGAAATGGGGAGGATGGGGTTGAGGGGTGAAGCTTCCTCTCCTCGTGCCCGCCGCCTTCCCGGAGAAGGACGGGAGGACCCCCTCGGGGGTGGGGATATACCATGTCTGTATGGAATAAATAATCCTTCTCTTCCAGGTTGGTGAGAATGTGTTTTCTCTACCCCGGAGCCCCCCGCACGCAAAAATGTCCCTTGACCCCCAGATCTTGCAGTAGCGATGGCTCAGGGGCAGTGTCCAGGAGTGCCAGGGCAGAAGGGCCACCTCAGCAGAATCAATTCCCAGGCTGCTTCAGGGTTAATAAGGTTTTCTGTATTGCAGGGATTACAGGAATCGAACTCTCTCCACAACCTGTTTTAATGATAACTAAATAATATGGTATTAGGGAGCACCACAAGGGGAAGGAAGAGGAACGAAAGATGCTGGAGTTGGGTCATTCCCAAGGCTTGGAGCCTGCGAGGTCCACTGACTCATGGGGGAAAAGACTGTAGCACAGACGTGCAGCTCCTGCACACAGTGGTGAATCGCAGGTCACCTCCCTCCAGTTTGTGCTATGGGGAGTAAGGTTGAAAATGTTTCTAAAAGCGTTTACTTTTTCCTCTGGAGGGAGAGAAGAGTAAAACTGAATCATTCCTTTTCAAAGTTTGAGAAGTGTTTTGTTTCAAGAAGAAATAAGTAGATTTTTTTTTCAGTAAGAAGTTTGCAGGAAACTTCAGGAATCTTTTGTAAGGGCTTGTAGCATCTTGGAAGCTGGAGTCTTTCTTTATATACATACAGCACTTGCGTAACAATGTCTTAACTGTGAATGAGATTCCTAGGTGCAGTTGCAATAAACTGATTAATAGTATCATTCATGGTATCATACCTCATTCATATGTTCAGTGTAAGTAAAGAGGAATTACATTGGCAGGAGTATAGCAGTCGTGACTTCAAACACGATACTCTTGGAGGGAAAAGTTACAGCTAAAGCATGCACCACTGGGCAGTGCAATTGGTAAAGCTGCAAAAAATGCTCAAGAAAATAATTTTTGGAGTAAAAAGCAGCAAAAACAAGCTCACAAAGAGCTAGTGCTGGGCAGGTCTGTGGCACGGAAAAAGCAAGGTGGGTAAAGTTACCCAGTTAGTCAAACTGAGGGTGGAAAATAAGAAGGAGACATGTCTGTCAGAGGGATTGGTCAGGGATGACCCCTACTTATGCATAAACAAGCACCCACAAGCAGGGTTGTTTAGATTTGTAATCTGGAGACAGCAAGGACTGATTTTTGTCGCCAAACACTCGTGGAACAAGTCACTGACAAGGGCACACAGCAAAGGGAATGGAAAGTAGTTAAATGAGAAGGAATGTCTTTGCCATGGGCTGCAGCTGCTTGAAATGCATTGGGATCCTCAAGAGAAGAGACAAGTAATAGGTCAGTATTTCCTATACGGTTGCTTATTTCATTCAAAAGCAAATAATGGGTCATTGCTGTGTATTTCATTCAACAAATAAGTTATGAGAACTACCACATGGCTCAAGTATGGAGAAATGTGTGGGGCAATAAAAAGACCCAGTGTTTCACTGTACCGGCATCCCCACAGTTAGCTAAAATGAGACATTTAATTCATACCAAGAAAATATTAGCCCTGGGGAGCAGGCAGCTTGGCTAACACAGTAGTCGGTTGCGCTCTGTCCCTGCCCAAACTTAAATGCTCCCTGGCCAGCGCTGCTCCTATTTTTAATCTCTGTGCTATGAAAAGCCCTGTTCCACAGTACGTGAATTTGTGCTTTATAGGCAGAGACTTGGGAGCACGTTTATCACATGGCTGTCATTGCTTTTGAGGAAACAGGTCCATAGTGCTTGGGATGTTGTCCTTAAGCCACCCAATAAGATGTGGCCCTTTGCTCTTGGACAGTGTGCTGCTTCACAGCGATGCTGTGAAGAGCAAACTGACAAGAGAACTGGACCCAGGGCAGTTTTTGCCCAGGGATAAATGATACCCTGATTTCTCGTTTATTAAATTGCAGCCTGTGTTGTGTACATTGTTTCACAGGGAGATGTTTACCCTGCTGAAAAGCTAAAATGTTTTCTCTCCTTGCAACATAAAAAGCCCAGGAGTGAGTTTTGTCACCGGAGATAATGTTACAGCCTCAGCAAGATGACACTTAAAAACTTCGTCAGCCTCCAAGAATTTCAGAATAGGGATGAATGAAGGTAGCAAGTGTTCAGGCAGTGCTTGCACGAAGTGCCCTCACAAGCAGTGTTTTCAAGAGCTTTTTTCTGTTCCCAGTTACCATTAGAGCTGCACAGCTGGGACCATTTTTAAATAATTATACTTACCAGTTAAAAACCCTCACATGCTAAAAGAAATTTTAGCTAAGATGGCTTTGTGCTTTGCAGTCTCATATGACACTCTATCTTTGTGGTGTGACTGTTGTAACAAGTCAAATTCATGTATTTTGATACCTGGCACATGATAAAGATACTTGGATCACTTAAGCCTGTACAAAACTGCAATGCTCACATGTCATTTATCTTAAAATCCTATTGTAGCTCTCGTGAAATGTAATTTCTTCAGTGAATGGAAATTTATACTGGCAGAGGTGTTATAAAACATGAAAAATACTCAGGGAAGGGGACCCAACGCTTCCTTTATCTCTTCAAGTATTCAGTAACAGGAATTTATTTTTCAGCTTGGCATTGGTTCGTTGCAGATTACAGAGCTTTGGTGCAAGCAAAGGGACCCGTTTCCAGTCGTCTTAACCAAAATTGCAGTAACTGCAACAGGTGAGACATGGCTTGTGGCCCCGAGATGGCAAACTGGTTCACAGGCTGCAGTGTCTGTATCAGTTCCTAAAGCTGCTTGTAGGAATTCACCCAGCCTAAAGAACCTCCTGGGATCCCAGCTTCTACATTCCCATTTCAAAATGCATGGGTAAGAGAAAACAATTTATATTCATAACCTTAAGTAAATAAATTGTCACTTTAACTACACGTTTTATTGTAATTAAATGCTTCTCAGTAATAAGCAACCCACACCATGAAGGAGGTTCCTAATATAACAGAAAGCTAAGTTCCCAGTTGTGAGCAGAATTAGGAAGCTTTTAAAAGCACAGACCAATTAATATGGCAGAGCCATGTTGCACAGTTCTCAACATGTGGAGGAAAGGTGGTTTTGCTAGAGAGCTTTATCCTTATTTTCCATTGCTGTGTGGTCAGCACCTCACCTGCAGGATTTCCCACTAGGATTTATACCCAGCATTAGCCTGACTCTGCTTCTGGTGGTTTTGCCTGACTCTTAACAGGAACAGACCTGAGGCAGATTTAAACCTTCCCCAGCTTTCTAAGGACTCACTGCTGTCACCTCTCCATAATGCAGCTACAATTAACTTTGCTGGAATTTCTATATTTGAAGCAGCTTTAAATTAGAGGCTGAACTTACAGACGTGGATGCAGATGGTCTTTGCTACTGTCTGTATGAGCCCTTGGGTTTTGCACTAAAAAAGCCCACCCACACTGACAAATTTGCCCTTTGCGGTCTGGCTTCAGTGCAACTGGTAAAAATAGTGAGTGATACGACAGACAGAAAGGGCCCTAAACTATATTTTTTGATCGCTTTTCTTAGCTCTGACTAAAGAGCAAGGCATCCGATGTTGACAGATTAAAGGGGAATATACCAAGCAAAGGGATCTGCTACCAAGATGCCCATAAACCGAGAGTTCTGCCATCCTCCAGAATGTGAACTCTTCCTTTGGTTCTTAGTTGTATTTTGATCAAAGTGTAAATACCAGCAATTGGCACATGTCAGACAGTGTCAGAGCCGTGTACCAAAGCTTTCTTCAGGTTCAGTCTTTAGCACTGCTTTACTCATCTGTGGGTTTTGTTAGGGCTTCTGGGACATAGCTCATTATTTTTACCACTGTAACCAGCAGAGTGGCCGTATCATCATTTCCACTTAAATCCAGGAGAGCAAGTCTGGCCTATTGGGCAGGGAACTTAATTGTGAGAAGGCTTTGGAGGGCGGTTGGCACTGGATGGTAGCTGTACTATTAGCATATTACTGCCCCTGAAAAGAAGAATCCAAGCTCTAATGCATATCCGCAAGTCCCACCAGCTCGATGGGTACCAAAGCACGCCCACACTTGAGCTGGAGACTCCTCTGCTCAGACAAGGAGGATTACGGACATCATATGACTAATTCTGAAATGACGGTGTATGCTTAATTGGTAAAGGACTGCATTTTCTATCTTTTTTTAACTCAGGACATAGCGTCAAAGGTCTGCCTGATATTCGAGGTTCATTTCAGGTATTTCCTTCATTGAGATTCACTGTACCTAAGGTTACTGTGACCTCTGGCTTTGTCTTGTGCTCTTCAGCACTATGAGAAGCCCGTATTCAAATTCCCCTGAAACATAAGGCTGTGCTGCTCTCGCAGCTCACAAAGAGCCTTCTCTGAACCTCAGGTACAAAAGTTTTGGCTGTTTCAGGAGCCAGTGGCCAGGAGTCACAAAAAGCATGATATTTATATAAGTGGACTACAGTACCAAACTTTAGACATTCATTCTAATGTCCTGCTTTCAAGATCTCTGCCTCAGTTTCCCTGTAAAATGCAAATACAGCATTGGTGGTGCTTAGCTCATTAAAAGAAATAAATACCTCTCTTCTAAGAGTGTGTGTTGCAGGGAGTTGAAGTCAATGCACCTTAAATTCAGCGCAAGATGTTTTTACCAACCGTTCAAACAGATTACCAAGAGCCACAGCAGCAAAATCCCTTCTAGCTTGAAATGTTAAGACTGCCTGGGTTCCTGTCAGGGAAATGTGCTCCAGAATTGGGGGTAGTAGCACCGGAATCATTTCTTGGTGCCACTGCTAGTGACTGTGACAGCCTCCAGTAATGGCAACCTATTAATGTTTTGCTCTGTCCTCCTTCCTTCAAAAGCTGAAGGTAAATAAGTACAGGTCCCATCATCTGATCATTTTGCTTGCATAGAAGTTACCTACAGAGTCTCTACATGAGATGGACAAGCAGAAGGGCAAGAGAAACTCTTCCCGTCTTTGGTGTAAGGCTAGCCAGTGCACAGTGCTGCAACCTTGGGGCTCAGGAGCTGTTGAGTCACCCTGGTTGTTCCACTTTTCTGTGCACAACAGCCGACATTGCTGATAACAGCTGGGGGTGGCAGGGGAAGGGCAAGGTGTTAAACCTCTGTGCTGGAGTGTGTTTGGACCAGGCTAGGACAGCCTTAAGTGCTGCGCTCTTTTGGGTGGCTGCCAGCATATCCCATGGGGTTTTGCCACACCTAAAAAAGAGCCTGGGAATACAACAGAACCCTTGAATCTGCAGAGTGAGAACAGCATGTTCAGTTACTGCCCTTAGACTATTCCCTAGCCCCATCCATTTAAGTTACCATCATCTGTAAAACAGTCCAGTAGGTATTTACCCACATTGTCTTCAGCTGTTGATGTTTTACCTGAAAATGCAATGCAGGTGTTTTAAAGTGCGTATGGTGGCTACAGCAGCCTAGAGCAGAGGCCTGTCATCTCTCCAGCTCCTTCACGTTTCTCCCTCCCTAGGTGTTCCCTGGGCAGAACATCTTTCAAATTCCAGTATTCTATTTAAAAACGTAGACTTGGGGTTTTTAAACTGGTTGCAATTAAGCTTTAACAATGGGAAGGTTCATATGGAGGTGCTGTGCCCCTCTTTGAAATGGCTTTGCGTAAGAAAAGCATCTGTGTCCCTTCTGCAGCCAGCCAGAACACACTAAGGGCTTTACTTCCACTACTCTCACCTGTGGCCTCATGCCTCCCAACACACTCAAGACATGTATGGAAGGGCTAACAAAATATGTCCTGGAGTGTTTGGTGTATTTTTAGAGTTTAACCCAGATTATTGGCCTTTGTCCCAGATTTCAGTGGTTAGGTTATAAGAATGCCCAGTGAGGCCAAGTGCTTCCTACATTACTCTCAGGAAGGCTTTAATCACAAAAAATACCCTCTCAGAGAAGGCAAATAATTAAGCTTTTGTGGCAAATACTCTACTGCCAGTAGCAGGAGGTGGTAAACACTCAAGACTACAGTATAAATAGAGCAAGGCAGATGCACTAAGCTTTAAAACGCAACATTATTGTGTTACATGGTATTGAGTAATGAACTGGACATCGCTAGCGAGGTAGTTTTCCTTTTGTCTTTACTGGGACCAGAGTTTGTTTTTTACATCATAAAGTGTTTGTCCTTGCTGCTCATCAAGGGAAATGCTGGTGTAAACAGCCTGGATGAAACTCTTCCCACACTGTGGCAGCTGGCAGTGTGCAAGTGGGAATATTCAGGTGCCATCCAGCCTATCCTCACTTCGGCAGCACCTATTCGACCTAGCTCTTCCTGCAGTCCTGGGTACTGCACAGTGCTCCAGACTCTTAGGGCATCATAAGCTTTGCCTGCAGAATATCTTCCCTCCTGTATAACCTCAGCCTGACCTCCTGCAGTTTGGTCCTTGCTGAGCATGTTGGGGAGGGATTGCTCCTTTTCACTCTGCTCCAGCTTTTTCCCCTTAGAAGATTGTCTCTTTTCAGCCTGTCAGACCCAAAACAGGCAAATTCATTTGTCCCTTCCTCATATTTCTGGCTGCACAGCATGACCCTTGCTCCATCCCTTGAGTTGCTTGGCTGTATCTCAGGGGCTAAATTCAGTTGCTGAAGTCCTAGATTTCCCATGCATCTCTGGCATGCTCTCCTCAGTTCTGAGGGACGTCTCTAGGTTCAGCTCTCCAGTTACACCACAGGTCTTTGGGATCATGGGGGGCTCCCTGACAGACTCATCCAAGCAATTTCTGGCTTTCATGGGCTTCCACCTTGGTATTACCTTTTTACCTTCCTATCAACTGCTTATTGCCCAGCTGACATAATACCCTTTCTAAGACTGTTTCCTTAGCTTTATAGCATAGGACATACCACATGTCATAAAAAATGCAAAATACAGAATCTATTCTGTTAAGAATCCAGCCACTGGTTCATCAGTTTTGTAGACAGGCAGGAATGACATATTGCCCATACAGATGCAGGTAAAATCTTGCTGCGCTCAGTCACACTTGTGCTTCCCAACGCTCCCCAGATTCAACAGTGGACATTTTGGCATATTATCAGTGATAAATGTGTTCACAAGTGAGAGCAGCCAGCCCTGCAGGCTGTGATGCCAGGGTATTGTGGGTTCCTGGCATGGGCAGAATGAGACAGAGATATTTTTGTAGTCAGCCTCAAGTTTTTATCTATTTATAGGTATCTTGGTGACCCCTAAATTGGGATTAGGTCCTTTGGCAGGAAGACTGCGCTGCATTTCCTGGCCCCTTATCCATTCAACACACCCTTGCTCTCAAAAGCCACTGATCTTGTCCTTTTATTTGTGCCACCAAATGCCACTCCTTTGGGTTGAGAAGCAAGAACAGGCAGCAGGAAAATTATCAATAATCCATCAAGCAACTAGTCTCATTTTTAATCCCATTTTTTGTGGCCTGTGGATGCTGTGGGGTGGTACACAGACCCTTAATTATTCAGCTACAATAGTTTAAATGATTGCAAGTGGCTACACCAAATTTGAAAATAATTCAGGAATAATGGAGGGAGATTTTTTTTAAAACAAGGATGGCATAGGACAAGGATGAAAAAGGTGCAGGACCCTTGTGGCAGAAGTACTGGTTGGAAGTATTCTTGTGGCCTGGGTTTCAGCTCAGTCTTCTGCAGGATCTCTGATAGGCTTTGCTTTACTTAAGAGATAAGTCCTGATCAGAATGGGAGCAGCAGGCTTTATACACAGAAGTAATTAAAATGTTTCACTCCCTGGCAGGGGAGTTAAAATCAATTTCTCAAATACAAGATGAGAAGCAACTGGCCAGGCTGCTGCCATGCAGAAAAAAAGATCCGGGGCTGTGATGCTTGGGAGTACAGCAGAAATCCAGTCCTGCAAAACTCCAGCAGTCCTCCTGGGATGCCTGTTCAGAGGGGCAT